ATTTAATATAAAGTACATTTCTAGCATATAATTATTTTTAAAATGAGAATTATCAATTTTAATTCAACCAATTCAAGTATTCATTCAGCCAAGGGAACAATATGACCTCTTAAAAATGGAAGATTTACAGCTTAATATTAGAAATTTTCTCAATATAATACATAGACTATTCTGATCTGTACTGAACTACACTGTACAAAGACATGTATCAATTGTTTTATAGTTTACAATCGAGTCTAACTGGTCACCAAAATTCCTGGACCAAAATATCACTGTAATTATATGAGGGAAAGTCCTGTAATGAGATGGATATAATAATGGCCCCAATCTTCTCAAACACAGAAAATGGAAGTTTTCATTTTCAAAACTATGGATTTGGTTTTCCAAAATTTGGTTACCAAAGCCAACTTCTAAATGTTACAGCAGAGGTGGGGCAGTAATGAAAATAAATGATTTAATGGAACTCTGAAGAAAAAAATAACTATCATAGATCTCAGTTTGAAAAATATATCTGGTGTAAGAGACATTCAGAATTACATAATAATGCTTATATCAAAGTTTATTGATTAACTAAAGGGCAAAGAGTTAAGAGGCAAGTAGAATGTAATGTTTGTTTTCAACAAAGCAGACCAAGTAATATGTTAAGTGTTAGGGTGGGATAGGAAAGAACTCAAGCCAGGCAAAAATTTCCTTTTGGACTGTCTATATAAACATCTATTTTAGTTTTGGACTGTTCAGCAGTGTGCTCGTTGATGAAGAGGAGGAACTCTGCCCACCCATAAAATGCTTCCCAGACCAACAGGTCCCTGTCCAGTGGCTCCAGAAAGGCAGCTTGGCCTCTCAGGTCCCTGGGGCCCTGTGGAGCATGGATGTACAGGGAGATGGAATCTAATCTGTGTACAGGGCTAAACCATCCTAATAGGACCCTTCCATGAACTGAGCTATTCAAATACCAGCTAAAAGAACAGACTGCAGATAAAAAAACATGGGTAAGTGTCTGCCTTGAAAATGCCTATAAGATGTCATGATGTGATCTTGCACTTTACTGGCCCTATGTCCTCCCAGAATCAGGGCTTTAAAAGGTCCTGGGTATCCTCAGCTCCCTTTAACTGTCTTACCAAATAAAATCTTAATGAATATAGTTTAAGTCCTTATTGGGCTCTGGAGTCCCTTCTACGAAATAGGCTACAGTTGTTTTAAAAACTTTTGTTCCCTTGGAAAATGTGGGAGGGTATTTTGATCTTATCTAAGTAAGATCAGTGGGTAAACACTATTCACCCCAAACCAAATGATGCTGCCTTCAGGGAGATGTCAGAAAGAAAATCAAGTGATACCCCAAGAAAGCACATTGTACCCACGAGCAAAGCCCTTCAGTGCAGATCGAAACCGTCTTTATGAGGAAACTCCAAACCACTTGGTCATTTCATCTGTCAGGCAAAGTCAGAAGCTTCTGAAGAACTTCAAGCACAATTTTATAACAAAAGCAATACTGCTCCTATATACATACATATGAAAAACAACAGAATGTTAAGTAACTGAATACCAATATCCACTGTCAGAGAACATATTTGTAATTTCAATCACAAAGGAAAGTTCCTAAAAGTAAACATTTGACCAAAAACTTCTTTACATAATTATATATTTTTTTAAATTCTTGGTCCAGAATGAATTAACTGAAGGCTTAAACTGAACAGAGGGGAAACTCACTGAATCTCAATCTCCTTATATCTTCCCTGGATAAATCAAATTTTAAACTTTTTTTTTAAGATACAGCCTTAGGTCTCTCTGACAAGATAATTCAAATAAAATGCTTCATATCATTCAACATTGGCCTTAAAACAGGTCAACCCAAATATTTAGGGGTACCTATTTGTTTTCATTATCCATACTCTCTTGACCACCCCTCCCATGATTAATAACTAATTTGTGACATAAATGATATCATTTTATGAAATGTCAATGACTTTAATACTTGAGGGACAAGTAAATATGCCAAAATTGTTACTCAGGGATTTATGAAAAATAACTTTAGCTATGTTAGTTAAATAACGTGGCATTGAGGACAAAGCTTATGTGTGGGCACCAGGAGACTTCAGCTTCAGTCGTGGCTCCTCCACGTGCCATCTGGTTGACCTCATGGAACAGACTGCATTGCTCTGAACTTGAAGTTCTACATCAGTAATATCAGAGCAAAATTAATGATTACCTCAAACAGTGAGAATGCAGTGAAATCATGTAGGTAAAAGAGCTTTATAAATTGCAATGTGCTATATACAGTGTTAATTTTTGTATTTATTATTCTTCAAATTAGAATTTATGAGGTGAGAGCTTACCTTTGTTTGAACCATGCCATGACGTTGTTCTCTCATTTGGGCCACTATATTCCTGATGTTGAACTGCAACAGGATGATAGTAATTTTATATTATCCATATAGGGGAAAACATAAACCCACAGATTGCCAAATGAGTACTCTGTACTGCTTTCCAGGAAAAGAGATGTCAAGATTTAACCAGAAAGGTCTCATTTTCAGTCATAAGAAAATTCACTATTTTTAACCTTGTCTAATGGATAAGGAAGACTTGTTTAAATGGGTTTCCAGGTAAAAGCAGGAAGCAATCATTTATAACAAGAAATGCTCTCCAAAAGAAATAACAACAAATTTTCCCCTGTGCATACTTTTCTGTTCTCCAAAGGGAGAACTTAAAGCAGCATTATGATTCTGGAAAAGTCTGAAGCATGGAAGACTTTTTCTGGCCACGATAATAGCACAGCTGTTTCTCATAAAAAGAGCCCTCTCCACTCCCATGGAGACCCTGAGTGACAGCTGGCCCCACACCAGATTCTGCACGTGTGTACGGAGACCTGGACTACCCCAAGTAGCTGTTAGGTCCGCAAAGGGCTGTTGCTGGTCCACAATGAGATAAGTCCAGAAACTAGCAGTAAGTTTTAGAAACTCTTATGACAATCTGACACTGGTGCAGCATCAAGAAGTGTCATCAGTGGAACAGGATATAGACCGGCTGGGGTGTTGCTGAATTTGCCTGGAGAGTTACGTGTGGTACCAGCTGAGGATCCGTCATGTGCAGCAAGACCATGTTGACACATGAAAAATTTAAGGTTTGTCAACCATAAAACAAAAGAATATAAAAATCAGAGAAAATGTAAGCATTCCTTTATTTTTACAACTTCTCATTTTATAATAATTTGAAATTTTAGCCTTTAAAAAAAATGTACAGAAAAATCCTATGTATCCTTCACCCAGTTTCCCCAAATTATACCATCCTAGATAGCTATAGTATAATATCCAAACCAGAAAATTGGTCAAATTTTGAAACTGACTTTTTTTTTAAAGATTTTATTGGGGAATTGGGGGAGGGGAACAGCATTGAGGAATCTGGGAAGGGGAACAGGCAAGTTGCTGTCCTTTTGTACTTCAGTCTAATTGTGGAGGATGTTGCTTCACTGGCCCAGGTTGGTATTATGATTGCTCTTCCNTTAAAGGAATTCATCACCACCAAACCAGTATTACAAGAAATGTTAGAGGGATTTCTTTAAGATGGTAGAAAAAAATCAAAATTATAAATAATAAAATAGCAATAGCTGCATATCTATTAAAATTTACTTTCAATATAAATGGGTTACATGCTCCAATCAAAAGACATAGGAGTGCTGAATAGATAAGAAAACAGAACCCTTATATACGCTGCCTACAAGAGACTCACTTCAGACTGAAAGATACACATAGACAGAAAGTAAAGGGATGGAAAAAAGATATTTCTTGAAAATGGAAATTAAAGAAAAAAAAGTTGGAGTAGCAATACTTATACCAGACAAAATAAACTTTAAAACAAAGGTTATAACAAGAGACAAAGAAGGACCCAGTAATTCCACTTCTGGGTATTTATCCAAAGAAACCCAAAATGTTGCTTTGCAGGGATGTGTGCATCCATCTGTTCATTGCAGCATTGTTTACAATGGCTGAGATGTGGAGGCAGCCTGGGTGCCTGTCGATGGAGAGATTATATATATATATATATATATATATATATATATATATATATATATATATATATATTTAAAAAATGGAATATTGCTTGGCCATGAAATGGAGTGGGTTTTTGCTATCTGTAGCAGCATGGATGGACCTGGAGGGTATTGTGCTGAGTGGAGTGTCAGGCAGAAAAAGAAAGATGCAATGGGATTTCACTTAAATGTGCAATCTAAAGAATAAAATAAGCAAACAAAACAGAAACACACTCATAGATACAGAGAACATTTTGATGGTTGCCAGATGGGAGGGGCGTTGGGGGTGGGTGAAAAGGGGAAGGGATTAAGAAATACAAATTGGTTGTTTAAAGTAGTTTTGGGGATGTAGGTTATAGCATAAGGAATATAGTCAATAACATTGTAGTAACTATATGTGGTGTCAGATGGGTACTAGGTTTGTTAGGGTGATAAATGGGATGGGGTTGGGGGGTCAGGGTGAAAAAGGTAAAGGGATTAAGAAGTAAAATTAGTAGTTACAGAACAGTCATGGGGATGTAAAGTAAAGCACAGGGAATATAGTCAGTAATATGGTAATAACTATGTATAGTGCCAGGTGGGTACTAGACTAGTCAGGGGATCACTTCTTAAATTCTATTAATGCCTAACCACTATGCTCTATGCCTGAAATTAATATAAAATAATATTGAATGTCAATTATATTAAAAAATTATAAAAGGGGGAAAAGTGAAAGGGAATAACAGCTCCAAATTTCCAGGTATAAAACAAATAAGTCATGGGGATGTAATATACATCATAGGGAAAATAGTCAATAATATTGTGATAGCATAGTAAAGTGTCAGATGGTTGCTGGACTTATCATAATGACCACTTCTTTAGGTATATAAATATTGAATAACTATAGTGTACCCGTGAAACTAATATAATATTGTATGTTGGCTATATTTTTAATAAAAGTCTTTTAAAAAGACTTATATGAGAATAAAACCTACAATGTTTATTTCTGAAAAGTTTTCGTCCAACATGTAAATCCATCAAGCACACACACTTTAAAATATGTATTTAAAGCTGAAGTTAATGAATGCATGTTTATATTTAAATATTTTTGTGAAGCATATTTTTCATTAGTGTCAGGTGTACAAAACAATGTAACAGTTAGACATTTACACCCCTCACAAAGTGATAACCTCCCTCCCCACATCTACTATCCCTCTGACATCGTATATAGCTGTTACAGTTCCATTGACTCTATTCCCCATGCTGTACTCCACATTCTGTGACTATATATATATTATAGTTGACATTCAGTAATATTCAGCTTCAGCTTCAGGCATACACTGCAGTCATTTAAATATTTTTGATTCTCCTCTAAATAAGCATTCATATACTCACAAAGGTGTCAATAGAAGTTTCATATTCATGCCATAGGCANATTCAATGGAATTGTAATAGATAAGCATGATATCGGGGTTGGGAGGGCAATAGATGGGGGAGGGGGGTTGTTACCTGGTGAGGGTGAAAAGGGTAACTATTGTATTGTTCTGTACACCTGAAACTAACAATAAAAAAAAAAGACTTATATGAGGGGAGATCCAAGATGGTGGAGTAGGTAAACACTGTGCCTGTGTCCTTCCATAAACACATTAAAATTACAACTAAATTATAGAACAAACAACCTGGAGAACCATTTGAAGTCTAGCTGAATGGAAGTCCTATAACTGAAAATATAAAGAAGAAACCAGGTTGAGACTGGTAGGAGGGGTGGAGACGTGGAATGGGCCCCAAACCTCCCTGTGGCAGTTGAGAATCAGGAGGTATATCTCAGCTGTGGAGGTTCCCTCTGGAGGAGCAAGGAACCCCAGCCCCCACACCAGGTTCCCCAACCCAGAGTGCTGGGACCAGAAAGAGGAGCCACCACAACACCTGGCTGTGAAAAACAGTGGGGATTCTGACAATCTAGGTGGGAAGGGAGGCTGCAGGAAACCCAGACATCCTCTTAAACAGCCCGTGCACAGACTCACTCACTTGCAGGCACTCACCTTGGGCTCTAGTAGAGGGAGGTAACTTGGGGGGCCTTGGAGACATACGGGGGAGAGGCTGAGGTGTATGGCTTCAGGAGGAGGACTGGAGGACAGTTGACATTTTCCCAGTGAGGGTGCTCCTTCTGTGCAGCTGGCAGGCAGGTGCCATCTTTCCTATGTAGAGCCTGCCTCCCACAGGTCAAATCTGAATCTGACTGGCCTGGTGAACTCTTTTGCTGTGCCCTGCTGATTCACTGGGATCCTGCCACACCTAACTCGTGCACTGCCGGAAGCATTTTCTCTGTGAGCAGCCAGTCCCACTGCGTTGCACTCTTTCTTGGAAAACTAACAGAGTCCATGGGCCCCAGGCAGGTAGTGACTGTCCTCAGTATGCTCTGAGACTTTTGCTGAGACACTCCAGGCTGAGCACTGGCACCAAATTAGAGTTTACATTAACCTGGTAACAACTCTTCCCACTCTAGTGACTCCCAGAGACCCTGTTTCACCCTACTTGCACACCATACAAGGCTTTAGCAATGGCTAAAACTTTAGGGAGCTGATAGGTGGCAGCAGGCCTTGGGGTATCCTGGCATTTTGTGGAGCTACCCCAGGCCCTGTACTGGTGGCAGACATCCTTGATTTGCAATGTGGCCTCTCCCATTCACTTCCAGGGTTAGTAAAGGCAGCAAAGAACCACAAATGACTTTGTAGCACTTACCAGGTGCTCCCTGGATGGTCACAGACAGCAGGTGACCTGGGCCTGCACCAGAGCCCCTCACAAGAGGCACCAGAACCAACATACTTGGAAGCTGGCTTTAGACCACAGCAGAGTACCACCCAACTAGCCCCACAAGTGGCACACACAAAGGGTGGTCTCAACAGACACCAGAGCCTGCTGGGGAAAGTCCCACTCTGTGGCATAAGCCTTCCACACAGCAGTCCATAAGCTGTGGACATGTCCAAACGCCACATCCAGTCAGCCTGAGGGTCAATCCCACCCACTGACATGCCAATAACAATCAAGGCTCAACTATAACAGGAAAGCACACATAACACACGCAAGGGACACTCCTGGAGTACCTGGCTCAGTTGACCAGGGAGACTCTGCAACTGGGCCCCACAGAAGACTTAATACATAAAGCCACCCAGCCAAGACTGGGAGACATANCTAGATGGCTTACCAATAGAACAGAATAGAGAGCCCAGAAATAAACCCATCCATATATGATCATTTAATCTATGACAATGGAAGCAAGAATTTACATTGGAGTAAAGATAGTCTATTTAATAAATGGTGCTGGGAAAATTGGACTGACATATGCCAAAAAATGAAAATGGACCACCTACTTACACCATATATGAAAACAAA